AACCCCGCTTCACCTCTAGCTGTCCCACAGTGCTCTGCACCCGGCCAGCTGTTCTCACCTAGGGCTTGGCTGGCGCCCTATGCCTGAGACTCAGTTCCTTCTGGCCCAGAGCACAATGGCTACAACCAACCGGAATGCCCAGTTCAGGGAACAAGTCAGAAAAGCTGGGTGACCAGAGAGTGGGCTACAGGCCACAAGGGAGCCAACACCCTCACAAGAAGGTTCCCAATTGCATAGCGGAGTCAGACTAGGGCAAGGCCATGCCAACTTCAGCACAGTACCCTTGGGGCTCTGGGGGCTCTTGCTGTTCTGGTCCCCAGTCCGGCTCTACAACTTCAGGATAGGCCCTCCTGAAGGGCAGGACTGCCTGCTCTAGTCTGGGCATCCTGTCCTCAACTGCAGTGAAGGGCACCTCAGCCATCCTGACCACACTGAATTGACCCCCAATGCTGCCACCACCCTCCCCACCCTGTTATGAGTTGAGCACACAGACCCAAGGCCTCAGAATCAGGGCCCGACCCCAACTCTCTGCACCCCAAGACCAGAGCAGGAAGTCACCAGCTCAGGGGGCAAGCACAGATGAAGATGTTTAAGTTCATTCTGTGCCAATACCTTTGCCAGGGCCCTGGCTAGGTAGCTCAGTTGGTTAGAGCATTGTCCCTATACGCCAAGGTTTTGGGTTCAATCCCGGGTCAGGGCACATACAATGAATGCGTAAGTGGAACAACAAATCAATGTGTCACCTCCCACCCCCGCCCCAATATCAATAAAAAGCTGTACTTTAAAAAACAAAATAACCTTTGCCAGGGTCCTGAGAGAAAGAGGTGCACATCTCAGATGAGGGAGCACAGGGACCCCACCTCCTCCACTTAGGCTGAGTGTGCCTCCAGACCAACCAAGACGACAATGAAGTGACTGGCTGGTCTGTTTGGTTTGAGTACAGCTAGTGCCCTGAACCAAGGCCAGAAGAGGCTTTCTCTAGAGGAGCCCCACTTCCCACCCAGCCTCCACCTGAGGCTCAGGGACCCACCCTCCTCGGTCGCACCCCAAACCAGACTCAGATTTCTAGGTAGACACACCAGTCCTTTATTCAAATCTGACTTCCACATTCTGTCACACTGTTGCAGGTGAGGACTGGCCACGTGCAGGCTGCCACACACCGGTCCTCCTGAGTGACTTGAAACCCTGCACTCCAACCTTGCCAATAAAACACCTGCTGGAAAAATGAAGGAGTGAAGGGAGAACTAAAGCTGGCTCCAGCAGGAGGCACACACAGAAAGCTGCCCCCACCCATGCTGTAGGTGGGACAGGAAACCAGAGAGAACCCACAAGGACCAGGCATTGTCAAGGCCAAAGGACCATGTGTCACCCCCCAGAAAAGCACTTACAGATGACAAGCTGAGAGAGCAGGGGGCTGGGCATCTGGTTCCTGCTCCGAGGTGAAGTCCCTCATGGGACAGGACCCCAGGTCATCACTGTTCTTGGGCCACCCTTCCAAGTTGCACTGGCTTCCCTTCAACCTGCCAAAGCAAAGGAGTGTTACCCCTAGGGTTTTGGACATTCTCATAGCTGCTTCCCACCTCCCCCTAAACCATCCACAGCTCCTAGGAGGGTCTTAAGCTAGTCATTGGGCCATCCTGGCAGAGGCCCTGTCACGGGCTGGTGTGACCAGGGCAAGCCTAAGCCTTGGCCAGGCAGCATTCCATCCCTAAGCAGAGCCAGCTACCCACTTGGGATGGAGCTGCTTAGAGAATGGTGTGGGCTCTAGGAAAAAAACTCATGGAGGCAACAGACATCAGAGAGCTATAGTTAGGAATATGAGTTAAGGAGGTCTGGAAAAGACTGTCAACTGATGAACAAAAAATCCGAAGGCAGGATGTTCAGTGCTCTCTAATCCTGCTTACAGATTGAACCTACTCGTGAGGTGAAACTTCCTGGGCTGCTCGCCTGGCTGCAGGCAGGGAAGGGCTAAACAGCCGGGGTCTGACTTTAATTCTAGCTTGACTTTTTTTTAAAAAAAAGAAAGAAAATGGGAAAACAACAAAAAAAACAGTCATAAAAACATTCCCCAGGCACATAATTTTACTTTCAAATGAGCTCTTGACAAGAGGAGGGATGTGGACACGAGCAAAAGGAGTTACCTCGAATTACAGGGCTATTTCCACATATGAGCTAGCCAAGGGAGCAGCTTGCGTCTCAGAGGTTTCTGTTGGGCGCACAACACTTCTGTCCTCCGAGGGGCTGCAGCTTCCATAGGCTAGCGGAGAACTCTCAGAACTTGTGAAGCAACAGCAGAGCTAGCTAAAGAGCAGTCAGTCTGCGGTCGCCCAGGGACACTGCCTGCCGTCTGCTCTCTGGCCTGCTTCTAGGCTAAGGCAGTCGGGTCAACGTCAGGTGCCCACGTGGGTCCAGTCATTGCTGCACTGCCCGCCCCATTGAGCCCTCCGGCTGCCACTGCCAGAAGCCTCCCAGGGGCTGCCTCGACGTCCAACCTACCCATTCCCGTCAGCCACCTGCTCACCTAACCAGGACTGGTGGCAGTCGGCTGTCACCAGGGGCCCGCCAGTGTCAGTTTACTCTGCCTTCCTGGTCTAGCTCTCCATGGGCCTCAGGCAGGACTCGCAGACCTGCTTCTCAAATTGCCCTCTCTGCTGAGTTCTGAGTGCCAAGAGCTCGCAGCAGGAGTGTGTTGAGCAATGAAAGGGAAATTGTCAGAGCGAGGTTCATTTCAGATGGTTTTTTAATCTGCTTCGTAAAGCCAAAAAAAAAACTGTGTACAAGAATTCCTTAACCACTTCAAATACAACATCAATGGGATATGCATACGTCTTCCAGTAAAAAAGGACAATATAAATAAACATTTTCAAGAACCTCTTGGGGACATCTCCAAGTCTACTGTAAGTCATACACAGCAGATGGGCCGTACAGGCCGGGCCCAAGTGGCAAGGCACCTCTGCTGCCACCTGGGACCTGGGACAGGTCCTACCATGCTACACTCAGAAACGGTACATTCAGTTGGAAAAAAGCCACAGCTCCCTCAGCTTCCAACAGAGAGCAGACTCAGAGTCCGTCCAATCTCAAAGAGGTTTGAATCGGAGGACCCAACTTCACCAGGCCAACCCCACTAAAAAGGGAAGTAAAAAAGACAACACAACCAAAAACAAAAAAACCCACACAACCCCCGATGATTTTCTAAAAAACTCATGGCTCATGGTAAAAAGAAAAAAGTAAAATCTGAAGTGCTTTTCAAAAACGTTTTTAAAACCCTTAAAAACGGACAGTATTTCCTTAAAAAGTAAAGTCTAGTATTGAAGCCATCTCGGGGGTCAGAAGCAGTCAAGCTGTGTTTGACAAGATCAGAACTGATTAGACTACAAAAGTGGGTACAAGGAGGTGTGTTCACTACACATTAACGATTCAGCGAAGCTCCCAAAATCTTTAAATATACAGCCATTGGAAGGACGATCTTGAGCAGGAAGGATTTTTACTCGTTGTGTGTAGCTGAGAACAAGAAGCAGGTACAGTGTAAAAGCACTGAAGCACGCAACAAGAGGCAGCATTCCACTCCCGGGTCCAGATCTGGAGGGCTCGGCCCTGCAGCCTCGGGAGCAACCAACCCCCCCCACAGCCAAGGGCGGCGGGGCCGGGTGGCCGCACATGCAGTTATGCTGCCTGCTTGGCAGGCCCCTCGTCTCCCTTTCCTTCTTGGTCAGTCTGGTCTAGCTTCTATGTTTTGTTGTAGAAATGGCTGCTGGCATGGAGACCTGAGAGGGCAATCTCATCCCTTATGGGCAAGCACAGTGACAAGGTCTGAGTGTCGCTCATAGAGGGTGCTGAGGCTTGCTGAGCTCCCACCACAAGCCCTCAGAGCGTGACTTACCATAACTGTCGTAGCTGTCTCTATAGGACCCTCCAGAGCTCCGGTCACCATAGCCACCACCCTGACTCCGGCTGTAGGAAGGACACATGTGGGTGCTGGAAGGCAGCTTAGTGTACTCACCCCAACCCTGTGCCAGCGTCCCATCACAAGCCTGCCACACGCCCAGGCAGGACTAAGCCCTCACCTGCTGTAGTAGTCTCTGGAGCCCCCATAGCCCCCACTTCTGGACTCGAACCGGCTCCCCCCATAGCCTCGGTCCCCTCCTCCTACAGACAGGGACAGGAAAGACAAGTGAGTGCCAGCTCCTTCCAGCAGTGCCCCCATCATGTCCTCAAGGGCCTCAGGCCCCAAGAGTGGCACTCACCTCTGGAGAAACCACGGCCCCGGCCTCGGCCCCCACGGAAGAAGCCCCGGCCCCCAGCAGAGCCACCTCGGTACCCACGGGATCGGTTATCAGATGACTTGCCAGCCTGGTCAACTCGAATCTGTCGCCCGTCCACAGACTGTGAAGACCAAGAGGTTGGCTCAGGTCAACCTCTGAGCCTCCCTGCCCCTCAAGCCTGAACCCTTTCACCCCCAGACAGCTGCCCCTCACCTTCCCATTCATGGCCATCATTGCATCTTTGGCATCGTCGATGTTCTCAAAGGTGACAAACCCAAAGCCCCGTGACCGCTGGGTCTCCCTGTCTTTCACGACCACCACTGTGGAGGGAGAAGTCTGCAGTCAGCACTTAACCTCCCCAAAAGCAGCCCTGATCAGCCGCTGCCAGTCCAGCACCGCCTCACCTTCAGAAATCTGTCCATATTTTGAGAAGACCTGCTCCAGCGACTGCTCATTGGTGTCAAAACTCAACCCTCCAACGAAAAGCTTGCCTTCATCTGATGCCATGGTGGCCTGTGGCAAATCGTTGAAATCCTCACTGAGATCCTCCAGGGCTTCATCGCTCACCCCTCCCTCCTATTTTACTTTATACAAATGACATATGCTTGTTGGGGACACATTGAAAAATTATCTTTCTGCCATTTATCACCCCAAGCCCACACCCAGAACTTAATTTTAAAAAGCTGTTAATTCCTTCATCACCCAGGGCCCCGTCCCCACTCAGGTCTCCCTGAGAGCGGGCCCAGTTTTGCATACTCCTCAGTGAAGCACTGTGGACCCCAGGTGATGCCCTCAGGAGACATTTAGGGCTGGGCACTAAAGGCAGGCAGGTATCTGCCTCCCTCGTCACCCATCGAGTGCACCTTGGTTCTCCCCTTTACAAACAGACGCCTAACTCCTAACAGGACCACCGGGATGCGGGATGGTAAAGTGCTTGGTCCACCACAGGGCGCCTGTGGGGTGGCCGGGTACTGGACCTCTGTAGGGAGCTGGGCAGAGTCCCGATGCGGGGGGCTCCAACGTGAAGGGGGCAAGTGGGCCGGTGTTGACTTGGACCGACCCTTCCCAGACTGGGAAAACCTCTGTCACATGTCTCTAGAACCACACAACTCGAAGCCCAACTTGGGGTGCCGAAAGGAGAGTGGGACACGGGGACGAAGGCTGTACTCCCCTAGTGCAAATCCAATGGGAAACCGGGTAAGCGGGAGCCTGGACCGCCCCCAGGTCCGCCCCCGCCGCACGCATGCGTCCTG